TTGTTCGCAGCGATTTAAAAAAAAGAGATGTAAGTGTTTTATTCCCTCATCGACACAATTTAGATAATTTAGGAGACGAGATTAACATTTGAATGTGCCTGTCAGGACAGACCTGGGCTGCGAGGGATGCAATGTTTCAACAGAAAGACTGAGATACTTGTTAAAATTTCTCCGCGCACGAGAATTGAACTCTGATCTGCGTGACTGTGAAGTGCATAACCACTACATCATAGAGGCCTGGATGGGTGGAGGGGGGAGGGGAAGCTATTTTATAAGGTCTCTCCATTGATCAGAATACTTGGTTTTAAATAAAATTAGCGCTTTGATTTTTTTCAGTCATAATTAGGTTGGTATAATAAATATGACATTTGTTGTGTTTCACAGGTGTGTCCAGTGAGGTGGAGGTCTTGAAGGCACTCAAGTCTCTCTTTGAACACCACAAGGCTTTGGATGAAAAGGTAAGGGCCGTTTGTGTTGCCGGTTCGTCAACAATATTGATAGCAATGTCACAAGTTTTTTTTATTGAACAGCGGGAAGAATGAAAAAGAATGAGAGAGACACAGAGAGAGGGAAGAGACAGCTTCTTTACTTTGTCATGCAGCATGCTAGCAGCTTAGCTCTTCTTTAAAAAGTCTGTTTTCATCGATATGTATATGTATATATCATCGCCTCAGAATATTTTGTCCAAAGTGTACTTAAAGTACCGAGGCACTTTGTACAAAATAGCTTTGAGGCCACGATATGTTAATCTGTAAGATTGGTAAGATAATCACAATCCAGTCCTCTGCAGTACAATATGTAAAAAAAAAAATCAGGATAACATCAACACAGATGCACGAATATACCAGGCGCTCACTCGGACACTTAAAAAAACCCAACTGTATCAACCAGCTGTCACGCTGTTTTAAAAATCTTATTGACTGCCGTTGTGTCTATTTTAATTGTCATAATGACTAGGGGTTGTGTTTTTTTTAAAATGTATTCATCAGCATTCTGGTTCTTTTATTGCATTGAGAAGCAGTTTTTGTGTGACTTTTCATTGCAATTTGGCAGCATTAAGGACATTTTACTGTTTTGCCCTGCAGTTACAACTTTTTATTGTATTTACCAGCATTTACAACTATTTCTTGTATTGGCTAGCAGTTACGACATTTTATTATATTTAACACTTACGAATTAAATTATGTAGGCCGGTAGTTACAACGTTTTAGTGTATTCAGTACTTACGACTTTTTACTGTATAAGCTAGCATGCAGTTAAGACTGTTTATTTTATTCAGCACTTATGACTTTTAAAAGTTGTATGAGCCAGAAGTTGTAGCCTTTTGTGGCAGTCAACAATTACGACTTTTTACTGTACGATTGTTTTTTTGTATTGTCCTGCTGTTACGTGACTGTGTCAATAATTGTTTGTCTGTGCCTCAGGTTCGAGAACGTCTGCGCGTGGCCTTGGAGCGAGTGGCACAGCTGGAGGAGGAACTGGCCACAGCTAATCAAGAGGTGAGTCTTTCTAGTTCTCGGGAGGGAGGGGAGGGAGAGAGAGGGAGTGATGAAATGGAGAGAGAGGGATTGAAGGAATGGAGAGAGAGAGAGAGAGAGAGAGAGAGAGAGAGAGAGAGAGAGAGAGAGAGAGAGAGAG